GATATTCGTCTTAGAGTTTTCTCCATTTATTTCTGGAACCGACATTAAATGAAATGATTTATCACCTGACTTTTGTCTTGTAATTTGTCGCCAAAAATGACAAAAACTTGTGAAATCGTATGTAGGTGAATGAAGAAAGAAACTAGACACTCACTTTCAAATTGTTCTTGGAAGCTAAGAACTGTATTTGGAGAATGAATGACGAAAACTTAATATTATGTGATACCAAGTAGCTAAATATGTTTAAAAAAATTTGATATAAACGCAATCTTTCTATACGTATTTAACTTATTTATAGCAGGCAAAGTCTTGACAGAGTATTGCTGAAACTTGGGCGTTGGTTTGGATAAAGCCAAGGCGCCATTTATCACTCACATCCACACCCACATCCAGATTTCATTACAGCATATGTTTGAATATCACTGAATCTGACATTTAGAAAAAGTTAGTCTGCCATTGCCAAAGACGCATGTAGTTATGAATAAAACAATGTTTTTTTACTACATAATTTATGAAAAATTAATCAATCTGAATCGGATTTTTTTCTAGATGAAGATCTAAAAAGATCTCTCGAGTATCAACACCGAATCTGTTGGATGTGTATGTGGAGATGTGAATATTCTGAATCTAAGTTTTTCTTTTATGTAGAGAAATATTTTCTTCGCAATTCTCAGTTCAAAACCTTTTAAGACTACATCTACGTATGTCACCCTTAAACTGTGCATATTTATATGTTGTTCTAAAAACTAAATTGTGACCCTACCGAAATATGCCGATGTACTCGGAGCGATCATTGTTCTCTTCGACCTAGAATTACAAATAGCAAGATATCCTACTAATTTTTGTTGTTGGTTTGATATATTCGATACATCGATACTGTAGAAGAAAGGTGCAGCTACACCAAATAAAACAATATTGATTGCAAATATGAACTTGTCCCACCATAATTTAATCATGAACGGAGGAGGATAGGCAAACCATTTTTCGTTTAAAGCTTGGCTTACACAATCGGTAATAATAAAATCTTGAATGTTTGATGCAATTGCTATCTATAATCAAAGATTCTTTGTGTATAATGAATAGATAATATGAATCTATTCGATTCAACCTACTTGCATATACGTTGCATCGCCATAAATCTTTTTCTTGGATAGGAGAATATGAGATGTACGCTCTTCGTTTCGTTTGTGACAAGCATTGATACAACTGGTAGCATATTTTTCATATTCTTTAGCATGATCGCTAAATACTTTACGTTTATTTATTTCTTTTGCCGACGATGATATTCTGATGGCTAACGCCGCAGCTAAGAGTGCTGCACCTATGCGTTCTTGAATATAAAGTAAAATAACAACAGCAGTGTCGCTGCGGCCAGTATAAACGCTCCATAGCAACAAATCACGAAGGATTTCTTGTTTATCGGATGGGTCTGCATCAGATTGACCTTTGTTATTACCTAATCAAATAGAATTCAAATGGTAAAAATTATTCTGAATGCGTTGAAACGTGCTTTCAAGCAAATAAAAAGATCGTATATATGAACCGAAATGGTTCTTTTGATGTTCATGAAGAGCTTGGCGTGCTTTTTCTTCCTAGAAAAATAATCGTATAAATGGAGGATACGTGTCTCATAATAGCCGTACATTTTCGGGAACTCGAAAAAATGGTGAGTTCTTGTCAGGAGATTTATACAAATCGCAGAGCATTTTTAAGAAATTTTCCTTTGATGAAGAACCATTGCCGTTTGCCACTTCTAATGGATTATAGTATTGGCTTAAAATACAATGAACGAACTCCGGTCGATCTCCATCCACTTTGAGCACTCGTCGAAATAGGTAATCAAATTGTTTTTGAATGCACTATATCGACACAAAATTTTCCTATCAAACTAGTTTACAGACATGATTCTTACTTTGGAACAGCTTGAGATCGTATGCTCTTCTTTGTTGCCGCAGGCAATGGTCTGTAGATATAACAGAAAATATCTAGATTGTGCAAGTAATATTTCTCTTACGGTAGTCTCGAACAAATCATGGACGCCTTGTACATAATTCCAATCGACAGCCATTTGTAGAAGATTCTCAATTTGCTCTAAGATTTGAGGTAAACTATTGTGAAAATCTACTCATAAGACATCTTACTATCCGTCTTGTTTTTATCTTGAGAACTTCGCAGAGCAGCTCGAAATACAGCTTCAGTTAAATCTTCGTCACATCCAAGATTGAACACATTTAAATAAGGTCGATTTCGTTTATCTAGTACTGCCTTAATACGATCCAGAAGCTCATTGTACCCTTTCATAGCTGCCGGAAGTAATGCTGGAAAATTTTTCAATTTGTCTTCGATTATTTTGGATCTGTAATGTAGTAAAAACGATTTGTGAACATCCTAAACAAAAACCATTCGGCAATCTCCTTTACTCAATCGCTTTGTCGTCTTTAGCATCCTCGAGTAACGTTCCTAAAAGACTAGCTATTCTGCCGCTACCATTGATGATAAGGATCGGACGCTTATGTATCAAATCATTTAATATTACTTCTAACGTGTTAAAACCACCTTCAACAATGATTGTCACAGAATAGAGGTTTGATTTATCAGAAGACGGTGCATCGCAATTTTGTAATGCGTAAACAAAATTAGCGCGACATTGATCGTTGAGATAGTATACCCAATCACCTTCATCAATCACAATAAAATGTGTATGATACTTGTCAAGTGCATGTCCATCATTGCTCTCGGATGTCCGTTGCCAATATGCGTTGAACACTCTTCCGAAGTTGAATATAGTTCCACACTATGTTTCAAGAATACATACAATATTATGTTTAATGCTCATATTCAAATCGACTAATTTCTAAAACCTGTTCTGTCAAGTAGTCTTGCATAGACTTTGACAATGTGCCGTAACCTGTCAATCCGATCAATGTTATGTTTTTTGCATTATCATTTAATGCTGTGTGCCTATAAATTGATCTACCAATGAGCTTTGATACACCGCTGTTGAGGCCAGTGGTTAGTAACCACACACCTGTAATATACTCGAACAATATACGATGGTCGTTGATATGTAAATTAAAATTCTTTAGCATACCTTTTGTGGCTGCCAATTTACCAATACCATTCATAAATTCTTTCTCTAAAGTATTCGACATGGAAAAGAATCGAGCTCCACCGAAACAATTGACAACCAATCGAGGTTCATTTTTCTGAGTATTCTTCATTATCCGAATGAGTGTTTTAAATGTCTCTACCGTAGGAACACTACATCGAATGAACTAAAGAATGAAGGAGTCATATAAAGTAAGTAAGACATGGAGTCATTTCATGCGACCGAAAACAATGGTTACATACTAGATTACGATTAGGTAAACTTCCATAACCTTGTACGATTAAATGTCGATGACGATCAAGATTTTCTTCATCATACTCATCTGATCCTGATTGCGAACGACGTACTGGTTTCATAATGTACAACTCCTTCTTTTTTTCTGCTTCTTCTATTTGTTGTGTCCACTTATTCCTGACGCCGATATGGAGAACGGCATCGATCTTATACTTTGAATGGGTATGTTTTGAGTGTTGACTTTTATGGTTAATTTGATATCGTTTACGTTCATCCATAGGGAACGATATTCCTGTTACACGAATCGTTGTGTTAAATTGCAACCTCAAATTAAATTTTAACCTACTCTATGGAGAGAAGCAATGGTGTCTTGAAAAAAAAGGCGCAAAATGTTAAGAGAGCACGTTTCAAAGAATGATGGAGTATTTCGTTTTTGTTTGCAGTGACTGAGAGTCAAAATAAGGTTTCATTTTTTTTCATTATGCGACTAATGCATCATAATAAAAAAGTGCTAAAAATAGTCGATGTTGGAAAGATTGAAAGCGTCTATGTTTATGATAGATGTAAAATAACATTTCATATTGATCGTTACTCTCTAACATTCTGTTGATTATTTTTACACTGAACCTTGAATGATAACATTAACGATTTGTATGTGATTGTGAGTATTGATGTTGTGTGTCTAATGAGAGTAGAGTGAAGACTTACGCTCACATATCAAAACTCTAGGATATTCTAGTAGCTGTGACAATGTAAGTTATTCATTATGCAACTTCTATTTCAGCGCAACTTTCTTTTTTGTGCGTAATATTTTTCGAATTCTTTGTATGTACAGAAACGTAAAATATAACGATGAGATAAAGAATAAAAACCTCTATTTTCAGTTTTCTAATGTAGCAGTTCCTTATTAGTAATCTTTGTTCGAATATTTTGATGCCGAGAATGGTCAATAAATTCATTGGGTATTAAAAGCATTCTCTCAATCTATTCAACATGAGCTTCTTTTGGCAGTTTGAAGCAGTATAGTGTCTCGCATCGAACTGTTACAGCTGTACTCAATTACTTCATAGAAAACTCTACAGAAAAAGTTAGGTTAGATAACAAACTTAATAGCAATGTAAATGTCTATAAAGTCTACGCAGCACTTGAACTAGCTCAGTCAAAAAACTGACATTATCTATCTTATTTATGTCTTTACATCTAAAAGTAACGTCTATAATGTTGTTACAGTTGTACACATCGTAGAGTTCCTATTTGAAGATATGAAAATTAAGCAAAGCAGTCATAATGATGAAGAAAATACTAGTAATGAAATATGCTGGTTCCTTTTACGCATAATTTATCTGGGAAGTACGATTGTATTCAGAGAGAGCAGAGAAAGTCTTACAATTTTGAGGGTAAGTGGATCTGATGACACTCGAGAGTAAAATTGAAGTGTGCGACAGAATCTTTGCTTTACCTATTCACTATACTACATCTATATCTTCATCTAGTCATTCAGAAATGTTCTTCACACTCAACAACCTGCCTACTACTAGTGTCCTTTGACATAATCATCCAGTGATTTGTGTTTCGGATGCTTTAGCATATGTAGATGAGTAATGAGAAAACCATCCGCTCATCTGCATTACTCATATATACTGCTTGTTGGAAGTAAAAGTTTACAAAAATATTTTTGTGCTATTTATTCTGGTATATAATAAAATAACTATTGAATACAAATATAATCACGCTTTCTGTATTGCAACTGTGACACTCATACTCTCATTATCTGATATTTCTGTATTTCTGATAAGGTGTGGTGAACAAAATAACCTTGCTTCTCATTATTTGGCAAACATGATGCGTCATATTTGTTTTTTCATGAATTGTCAACAGAAACAAAACAAAAGTATGTTGCTGTCCTACCTACTTTCTTCTTCTTCTCTTCTAAGCGAAACACGTAGTATTTGCTTTCACTGAAAAAAAAAGCCTTGCATAAATAGTCCACAAACGAAACACTTTGTTGACTGTCAACTTTAAATTTTCTGTTACTTTCTAAAAGCAACAAAATCATCATTCAAGTGAAGCGACATTGGAATCAACATGGAGTGATTACGACGTTTTGATATTTATACGCTATTAGCAAAGAAATATGTGAAATACTGCTACGCAAAATAATGCTTTTACGTGCTCATGAAAGACGTTTGAGGAAGAGAATTCGATCGAGCTTGAGCTAACTGGTTTTTGATGACTTTCCTATAATATGATGCAATTGAACATTGATTCAATATGCTAGTTAGTGAGTGTCAATTTAAGGAGGCCACCCCTCAGAAAATCCAATTTTTCAGAAACGAGTCGAGATTGAAGTTTTATTATAGGAAGATGCACTGAAGTCTCCTCTTGAGGGTGTGGGTGATGGGTGTCGGTGTTTCTCCACATTAGTGGTGGGCGCGGTTCGGTTCGGCACTTTTCAAACCGATCTCGGTTTCGGTTTGCTTCGGTTCTTATCGAAATTGATGCAGTTTAGAAAATTTTTTGAATACGCGTTTTTGTTGTTTATTTTCATGGAAAGTTTATAAGTTTTTCAGATAAGTGTATATCAGAGGTGCAGAATCTTCCAAAAAATTAAAAATTTGCCTCCCCGCGGAAATTTTCTCCAAAAATTTTCCCAAAACTCTTTCTTTTCGCCATTCACAAATCAACTTTATTTGGCACAAAATATAAAAAGAAAACGTGGCAACATTTTGTCCTGTTTGTTACTGTTCGTACAACATAGAAACTCTTTCTACTTCTTCTTTTCTCAAACGGCTCAAAACAATTGAAACAGGTGAAACTAATTTGAATAGACGATATTGTTCTATGTTTTTGAAGAAAATACAGTGTTTATCCTTCAATTGAAAGAAGTAATTGATGAGACAGAACATGATAAATGGATCTTCTAGATGAAGCGGTGGTGCATTCCAATGTAACATCACTGCTTTGTCTAAGGATTTATGATCCAGAGCTCAATTGCCACAAATGTGTTGCTTCAAATTTTGACACAGACTAGGGAAGTTTTGGAAAATTGTCACTGATAATTTTCCAAAATTTCCCCAGTCTGACAATTTTCCTAAATTTCTCCAGTTTGGCATTTTCCAAAATTTTCCCGAGTCATGCAGTTTTTCAAAAAATTTCCCTCTCCGCGCAGGGGCACACGAGGAAGATGCTGCACCTCTGGTGTATATAGATGTAAAGCCAATAACAGAAACCACCAAAAGGTCTCTACAGTCTTTCTCCATTCGTCTACGGATGACAGAAGTTAAATAAGCGTTTATTTTGTTAATATGTTAAAACATTCAATGACTATTGATGGTGAGTCTGTACATCACATTTGCTCTAAAATGAATATTTCTTTCATGTTAAACGTGCGTGATGTTATTAATCTTGATTTTTCAATACATTCCAAAGATATTCAACTAACCATTACCCCTTTTATTTTATCGGATTTATCAAATGTGCTTCAATCTTTTCTACATTTTTCTCAGCAGAAAATGTAATTTCGAATTTAAAGTTTGTTCACATTCATAATACTTAAAATCATTCGGGCCCGACCCAGAGATGAGCACAGAGCAAGATTTCCTCTTCTGCCCTGTCCTGCTGGCTATCTTCGCTGTCACAAGTAGTGATACAGGACAGAAATAAAAATCTAGTCATGTCCTGTTTCTATCCTGCTAATTTTTCTGCCTCGATGGGCGGTAGAGCAGGATAACAGGGTCGTCCTTTCCTATGCTCATCTCTGACTCAAACACCTACATTGAAATGAAGATTATAGTCTTACATATCTCTAGAAAAGTTTTAGTAAACTTCATTTTCGGTTCGGTTCGGTTTAAATTTTAAAAAACTCGAACTGCGCCCATCTCTGCTCCACATAACTACACCCATTACCCCTTGAACTCGATAATTACGATGAAAATAGAAATAAATACATGAAAAACTCGATAGATTGCTCTCTACTATAATAAAAAAAATGCCATTTTTTCCTTTCACAGCCAGAAGTAATACACTTCCACGGGTATTTATGAACTTCACTCATATGAAAAAAAAGCTTACTATTTTCCTCTATCAAATAAAAGAAATATTTGATTTAACTTCGATTAATAATGGAAATACCTAAATTTCTTAAGTGATCAGAACTTTTGGGACACCCTGTATATCAAAACATACGTGGTCAGGTTTAATAGAAACATTTTGTTAAATATTTTAATTGAATATGAGATAATTGGTGCTCTACGTGACAATTACTACGTATATCAAGAGAATTAAAAGATAAATGTTGAAGTTTACGAAGAAAACATGATAAATAAAAACAATAATCGTCTATAATCTCTTATTTGATATTTAATTTTACAACGATTTAATATCGATAAACGAAATATTTCAGGAAAAAGATATTCTACTGATGAAATACGTGCAGCAAAAGCAATAGTTAATAAGTGAAGATTAAATAATAGTCTTCGAAATTTAATTTTGACATTATTAAAATATTGATTTTAATTAAAATATTTTAATTAAGACCTAAACTATGTAACCATTTATTAAGATTATAAAGCCCTTGAAAAATATCATATAGATCAAGATATTGCAATATCTCATAAAAAAATTTCATTTGCTAAATCTTCCACAGCATACCTGAATAACAGTAAAGGATAATTACTTCGATGACTTTTAAAATAGATCCGACTTATTTGAATTGATTGTTGTTTGAAAAAATATTGGCATGAAATAGTACGCAGATTTTCTAATTGTTGTTTTTTAATAGTGTGTGGGTCCTTTTCCACATCATTCCATTTCTATTGCTTTCGTTGCATGCTTAAGATAAATTGATAACAGGGATACTGATTGAAAAAGAACTGTTTTCGAACGTCGTCGAAAAAATATATACGTACAATAGCAAACATCCATACCTTCCAGTGCAACACCAATAAAAGCCAACAGTAAGTCAAAAGAGATTCATCCTTTTGAGATTTCTTGCATCTTAATGGAATCTAAGCGATACGTAAAATTGGAGCAAGACAATGATTTGACAGGTAAGGATTTTCTTTCATGAGTTGAATAGTCTCCATGTGGCTTAGAATAGAGCTTTATATCTAACCAAAGCATATAGTGTTTTATACGACTTTCTGAATATAGAATGGATCTTCGGAAATCGAACATGCGTCGCTAGACATCAGATAGGTATTGGGAATTCAAACGCACGTATTAAGAAAGTACTCTCTTCGAAGAAACCATGCCGTATTCACATATGTTGAGCAGTAAGCTGACAAAAATACAAGCTATCTCTTGTGATGCAGATGTTGGGAAGAACTTACACACACTCATCGCAGCTACTCTGTGTATGCATGTTGGTGTGAACGAAGCGAAGAAGTACGCTAACACCCACTCACACCCAAACCTGCAACCTCGAGATATTCATACCCAAAGATCTTTACCACAATCTATACTTGTAGTATTTATTGTGAATTTTTATTAGAAATTTTTGTTTCGTCATTGTTCATGAAATATATTTAATAAATAATAAAGCTGATCTTGGCACATCGTTCATAGACATGATTAGTTATTTGGTAAATATGTTGTATAAAAGTTCAAAGAACATACTGTATGTTTCAGACAAAACTGTAACACACCATGTGAATCGTACAAGAGATATTCATTTTTCTTATTCGGTAGATCTTGTGAATACCCTCCATGTATCATAGCTATTCAAGAAGTCGAGAAAAACATATGGCCAAGAAGAAAAATAGTAGGATAAACTTTGAAAATTTTTGATATTTTTATTAATGAATAAAAATCTTCTAAACAACAGTTTTGATAATTCTTATAAGTTGTGAGGAATTTTCAACTTTTTTTATTACCTTTTATTACCATTTGTGAAAAACAATTTACAAGATTATTCTTTCCTTATTCTTTCATATCACACATTTTTATTTCTTTTTTTTTTTGTTTAACGTCAAAGTTATGCAAGTATTTTTTGTATAGTGAAAAGTCATTGAAAAGTGCATAATCACCACCATAATCACATATCAACGAGAAGTCTAAATCAGTGAAACATCTTGTAAGCAAGATCTTGGCTCTTGTACCAATATCTTAATATCTTGTGACAAGACCTTGGTCGAGATACAAGACATAGAAATGTTAACAGGTCTTGATAATCTAGGTACGAGATAATAATGTTATCATCTAGCACCAAGATCTTGACTAGATAGTATCCGTTACGGATGATTTTGCTACGGCTTCAAGCTAGATTGTCCTGAATCATTTAAGAAAAACTGATTTCCATTCAAGAATGTTCATGAGGATGACGATTTTGAACGGTTTTCGAACTGACCGTTGATCTCTAATTTGACTTGTGTTTGCAGCAGCGATCCGATTCCAGATTTATATTCAGCGTCAAATTTTAAATTTTACGTCGAATTGACTATCTCACTAGTAGTTAGAGTCATCCATAAAGAACTTTTAGCGATCATTTTTGAGTACGGATATTTCAGTTAAGATCTTATTGATCTATACCTAAGGTCTGATTACAGATCTTGGTACAAGATAATGATATGAATATCTGTAGCTAAGTTTTCAAGATCTGTTAACATTTCTGTATCCTATATCTTGGCTAAGATCTTAGTTCCAAGATGTTGTATTAGAGCGTACATCACATTGTCAAATCTTTCAACTGAAGATAATCGGGGCATATTTATCATTACTGTTTACTGCAGAGTTATCATCATTTATTTTGCATTAGTGTTTTTCATATTCTAAATGTGAATTACAAAGGTACAACAGTAAGATGCAAATTTTAGTACAGAGTTAGGCTTGAAAAAAAAGAATTGATGATAACCAATTGGATAGAGAACAAAATACTGAAATATCACAGACACCACAGTTTTTGCCGAAGGTGATTATTATGATCTTCAATCTGTTTTGTTTCAGAATCATCAGGCTCAAGGGCATGATGAGTAATATCAAAAGCCCGTTCAGCATATTCAATAGCTTTTTTTATGTTGACAAAATTTATCTAATAATATTGAAATGCTATAAAAACCAGTTATCAATGATGGATCATTGAATGATAGAGATTTTTGTTGAGGATCAAGTACTTTTTCATTATATGATAGTGCAGCTGAATAGTCTTTCAGTAATACATATAATTCACTAATAAACACAAAATACAAAATAAATTTTTTGTCAAGAGCATCCCATTGTGAAATCATACTAATTATTTGATGTATGTAGAAAGATTCTATGATTAGAGAGTTTGTCGATATCGCTCAAGTACTTTATTTAGAAATAATAGATTTTATTTAATTTTTTTATATAATATAGGACTACAATTATCATCATTAAAAACAGAGACACCTATTTCTAATTTATCCATTTGGTCTTTTGTTAAAATATTTTGTTTACCATTAAAAAACATATTATCCGGCATCCTAAATAAATAAAATATCATTACAATATGATAAATGAATGAATTTCTTTTCTCATAATTTTTCTTACATTTGAATAGTCATTGCAGGCCTTCTTCCTGGTGTCATATTGGCATTAGCACCATGAATTAGAAGACTACTATGAAATGAAGCACTTCTTGCTTTCATTGGTACAGCTACTGTTAGCATTTGTTTTAACTCAGGATAAATAGCGAATATATCAGCCATATTTTTATCAATTTTTATCTCTGGAAATGTATTGTTTGATTCATAATAACGACGTTCTACAACCTAAACAAATCAGCCTTGTTTCAATCTCTTCATAGAATAATAAAAATGTAAATGAAGAAATAGTGTTCTAACTTTTCAAAGAAACCATATTCTAGCAAACATTGAACCTAAGCAAGATCAAAGAAAGAGACTAAATAAAAATAATTGTCACTAAATTATTTTATTTCCATATTAGATTTTTGAAAAAAAATTCAATTAACGGGGGGGCGGGGGCTCAGGAACGAACTTTGTTATTTTCTTATCCGATTTCAACCAAAATATCAGG